TGTCTACAACAATGTACATTTTCAATGTTTATTTTAGAACAACCTGTAGCATAAATTAGTATTCTCATGAGTGGCTGCAGTTATGAAATAGCTTGATATCATATACAATAGAGAGCTTAAAATTCAAAAAAGTCAAAAAATCACACCAAATAATGCTATAAAAACCAAATATCAGAATAATACAACAGTGACAGTAATTGATCAGTCCTATACTGTTTTAATTTTCTCTATTTTGCTTAACAAAAAATGCTTCTGATTTAGGGATGGAATAGGATAGATGTCATGCAATAATACTTTAATTAGGTCATGCAATAATAATACTTTAATTAAAGTTGCAAATTTAAGTATAAAAATAATATTTTATTTAATTTTAAAAACTCATCAAAATATTGCTTCCTATTCCTTCAATTAAATGTGAGACAGTCTTCCAATGTAAAAGCATCCTCACCCCTGATCCTGATTAAGATGGTTACTTTTCAGATGTGTACTTCAAATGTCAATGATGTAAAATTTTATCAAGCAATAAAAACATGTTTTTTCAAATAGTTATATTGTTATATATAAATTAAAAATACCAATATGCATGACAGTTCAAAAGAAAGTATTAAAAACTTAAAAATTTGTTGAATTTAAGGAAGATAAAAAATTATACTGTGAATCAAAATAATTTGAAATATTACTCATAGAAGAAATGCACATCAAGAGTAATTTAAATTTTCTCAGACATTATAAAATACAAACAGTATATTTAAATTATTAAATAATTTACTATATTGCTTCTCATTGAAACTTTCTAACTACATCTTACAAATAATATAAGAGCAATAATAGAACAAAATATAAAACATTAATTAAAACTTAAACGAATGTGAACATAAATGTGTTGAACATGACAAGACACATCTCATTAATTGAAAAATACGTATTTATTTTGAAGCTTATTTTCATGCATTAGTGCCTAAATAAAGATAAAATTTTTAAAGAATGCAGATAAATGCAAAATATAGTAGCTAAAATTCTAAAATTAATTTTCTGCCACAAACATATATAGTAAGACACAATATTTTGGGAGATTTATCAGATAATTATACATTATTGCTATTAGACTAATATAACTCAATTATTAACTATGGACAATGTAACAATAAGAACATTTACAATAAAAATTTTTTGAGTCATTCAAAAATGAAATGAATACTTGCTTTTTTTCAGATACTTTCTTCAGTTCAGATTATCTTCCTTCTAAAAGAGACCAACTTTATACTCCTAAAAAAGAGCTGCTTTTCATTTACATACTAAATCACACAATTATTATTATATAATAAAACTGAAAAGTATATCTCTTTTACAGCAAACATATTCCTCGAGAACACAATTTTGGTAGATGTTTTAAAGGCACTGGTTTGACATACTACCAGGTTTGGTGCACACCTGGAAAGAACCTGATTTACAAGAGGTATTTTGAAATGCTTTTAACAACTTTCTTATTACATTCGAAGCTAAGTACAAAATTTCAGCACCAGTTATTAACTATTAAAGTTTCTTGCATCCCTCAATTTAAAATTATTCAATGTGAGTATCACAAATGCGAAATAATAATGACTAACAACCTAGCTCACTCTTTGTCATTTTATGGCAGCATTAGATAAAAATACAACTTTCTTATTTTCATATATACATGTTTACATAATTAATATATGAAGCACAATTATCTGATGTGCCTTCAAGCAGTACTGCATAAATTTACAATATATATCTTATATACAAAACAAATTACAAGCAAAGCTTGATATTTGGCTTTCATGACTGATTAGCTACACTTCTATTGGTCATACATCATTCATTTCAAAATGTTGATTTCTATAAAAATATTAATCTAAGTCACAATAATTAAAAATTGTTAAAAACAAAAAGAAAGAAATCTGAGAAATCTGAAGGGAATAAGTATTGAATAATAATTTTATAAACATCTATCAAGAAACTCAACTATAAATCATTTATTTCCAGCTTCTGTAACACTGGTATATTGCAGCAAAATGCTCAAGCCCTGGACAAACAAATGATGAATCTGCAATACGTCATAAATACTGAATGTGAATTAACAGTTAAAATTAAAATAGTGACCTATTCCTATCACACATTAGTTCATATTTTGTATTTCAGAAACATTACCTCATTTTAAATCAGCTTTCAAATTATTCTAATTATTAAAATGACTTTTGAAAACAGAATTCAAAATACAAAAACGGCTTATTTAAAATTTCCAGAGTATTTGAACTTTGAAGAAGAAAATCAAATTTTATATTACTCATCTTAGTTTCTTAAAAGGTAAAATCGCTGGGCCTATATTCATGTCCTGTCCGAAGTTCATATAAATATAAAACTTTTTCTGAGATAAGTTCTTAAATAGTTCCACTTATACATGGCAATAAGCTAATTAATAACACATTTGACATTTCAAACTGTTTCTTTGCATGCTGCTCAATAATCCATTTGTGAAGAGGAATAACCTATATGTGATGCTTGTCAATTATTGCCCAGTGCATATGTGATATTTGCTGTTTCTTTGCATGCTGCTCAATAATCCATTTGCGAAGAAGAATAATCTATATGTGATGCTTGTCAATTATTGCCCAGTGCATAATAATATGTGATATTTGCTAACTAGTTATTAACTGTATTGAAACAAATAATTACAAAAGAATAAATAACATGAACTGTAGTACCACATGCGAGCAATGTCATACATTTAGAAATTAAAGATATTAAAAATAATTTATGAAAAGGGTTAAAGTTTATTTACAGAAACTGCAAGTTAAACAGTTTATAAATATCCGATATTTTCCCTTATAAAAATGCAATAGGCTTCCAAATTATACTGAAGCTAGTCACTCCACACTAATTTTACTGCTACAAACCATACCCATTCAACATATATATTATTTCAAAGATTACTTACTCATCAGAGCTATGATCCTTACATTCAGAAACCTCCAATACCGAATCCAAAACTTGCACCAACATAACATAATCTTATTTTATGATAGCTAAGAAAAATGCTTATTTTATGATTAACAACCTAATAGAAATGTAAAATTTACTGTTAATGAATCTGCAGTGTCAGACGTATTTGGGGGCAGCATGCAAGTAACTCAGCATGAAAAAGAGTAAAGGACACAAAATTTTAAATTTAAAAGCTACTTGTTGAAACAGTTTAAAAAATTCTTTTCTCAGCAAATTAATTTACGCAATATGAAATATGGTTTGATAGTTATTAATAAACAGCTAATTTTTCAAATGTATTTTATATGTGGATTTATTAAATGTTGCATAAAAATTTTCAATTCAAGCCTTTTACTTTAAACAAGATTTTTTATATACTTTATAAAATAATACATTAGTAGCTGGATGCATATTATGTAAAAGTTAAACTTAAGACAGATATTGCAATAAAACTATTAATTCTCCTCCTTTCCTTCATAATTTGTATAAATCAAATTCTTACAATTAACTGTGATGATAGAAAGCAACACATACAAGGTTTAAAAGCAAATAGTTGTAGAGAAATAAGTCAATTAAAGAAAGAGAAATGAGAAGTATTTAAGAAATGACAAGCTTCACAAAAGAAGAAAATGCAAGTGACAAATGAACATTAAAAATATTTTACACTGTAAAGAGTTAAAATGGCAACAAAAATTTGTTACTCTTTTTTTCAGCTGTTTAATAATGCTCTTTCATGAAATAAAATGAAATATTAAAGTAATTAGTTCGTAACCTGAAAGACTATTATAGCTTTCAATAAAGCTTTCTATAGTTGCTCTGCGGCAATTTATATGTCATTATCTGCCTTACATACTTAATTTTTTAATATATGTCAAATACATATTTAACAAATCATTTAGGACCATCAGCAAAATTCATTAAATTTGTATTATTCGCTGGATCAAGAGTGCTAGATAAATATAAAAACATGTTACCTTTCTCAATAATTTTGCTTATGCATTAAATAAACAATAAAACAATTAAGTATTTCCTATTAAAATACTATTAATGATATCAAAAACTATGTACACTTCTTAAAATGATAAAACAAATGTCATAAGGATGCTACATCTGTTTGTATTATTATTTCTTTGTGAGAAATACTACTTCTATGCAGCTAAATAACACAAAATGCACTCTTATATATTTAAAAAGAAGGTACATTATAAGAACTTTTAAAATGAGAGTTCAGTTTAAGAGCACTAACTCTGCTTCAGTTATTCCAAAGAAATATTGCACATCAAAACTTCATTCAACAGCAATAGAGGGAGAGAAAGAGAGCAAAAATCAGTGAAGTATGGAATTAGTAATAGAATGAAACAAAGATGCCAAATCCCAGCCAATGGAATTCAATGAAATTAAAGTAAATATCTAACAAAAAACAAATTTATGATAATTAAGAACTAGAGCATTATATAAACATTATAAAAATGCAATGAAAATAAATTTAAACAATTTTTTAGATAAGTTTGATAAAAATTTACAAGGTAAGAGATAGCTGCTTAAAAATGAAAAAGCTATTTTCACAGAAATTGTACCAGATTAATATTTAAATAAAATCAACTTGTAAATGTATACATTGACATATATTGTACCAATTAATTTCAATCTTTTTCTCATTTTATAATAAAAATCCTTATATAAAATATGAAATATTAGCCATGGTCTTGCATTTTCTAAATATTGTTAATAATCAAAATGTTAATTTATTTTCCTCAAATTCATTATCACATAAATCTAGAAAAAAAAAAAATTATAATTTTTTTCATAATAAATAAAATAAAACACATATTTATATATATATATATTTACTTTCATAAATATTAATACTCAAACTTTGCTTGTTTATAGGACTACAAACAACAGTACACATCGATAAAATTTAAAACATTTTTTACAAAATGCTATACATGACATTTCAAGATATAATTTTAATAGAAGTAGTTGAAAACATATAATTCAAAATTTATTATACAATTGTATTATGTTACAAAAAAAAAAAAAAAAAAAAAACATTTGATCAAAGCATACATTTATTTTACATTAGATTTTTATCTGGTATAACTTCTAAATCATCTCTACAACGGGGCACATAAAGTGTGCAACAAGCATGTTCCCATATATCTTGTGGGTAGTTGTCTCCAACTGTCCAAATACCAGTTTCGATATTATAACACTCAACTACACCACTTGCACGATCAAAAGTTGTTGCACTATGAAAACCTCCAACAATATACAGCCACTTTCCTATCACAACAATTCCAGCATGATAACGTGGGGTAGGAACTCTGGTTATGACAGTCCATGAGTCTCTTATAACACTATAGCAATCAATCGTATCTACCAGGACCCTAGAACCAGTTGCTTCATCTTCGTACCAGCCCCCACACACATATATTTTATCACCACAGCATACCATAGAATGATCAGCACGTGGTGTAATCATAGGAGCCCGTATCTCCCAATGGTCAGTATCAGTATTCAGCCTCCAAAGAGAATTCAAAACTAAATCTTGATCTAGACCACCTGAAACATATAAATAGTTCCTCCAAGATGTTCCAGCATGCTGAGCTCTAGAACCAGGTAAAGAAGATATAGGTGTCCATAAGTCAGTCATGGGATCATATTTTTCACAAGGTGCACTGTCATCAAGAACATCAAAATCTCCAGACTCCCCTACTCCACCAACTGCTATCAGATTGTTACCTACTACACCCAAAGAGAATCTACATCTTTCCTTTTGCATAGGAGCCATTGTTGACCAGGAGTTGTTAAGCGGGTTATATCGAAAACCAAATGGATGGACATTTTCTTGAAGACTCTGGTTAAAACACCCACCAACAATATACAATTCATTATTAAGTACTGCAGTACCAAAATTGCACTGCTCCACATGAGGTATAGAAGTTAAATATCTCCACTTACCAACACTTGAAAGATAATATGCAATATCATTAGTTACACCACTGATACCAAACCCACCAACTTTTAAAATTGCCAACTCCATACCTCGGGAGTTAATGAGGGACAGTCCCCGCTGTTCTCCTGGAACGTGCCATAAATGATTCCAGAGGCTGTTGTTGATGCAAAGGCACTTCACAATAGGTGATTCGTAAAATGAAGCCAGATCAACTGAAGATATTTCATTGAAATGAATGTGTCTTAGAAGTTGATGAATGTATTTCAACCGCTCATGTGGTTGGTGTTCGATCCACTTAAGTACAATGCTTAAAACCTCTCTTTCTGAACAGTCAACAGGAAAATCACATTTTAAAATATATTCTAATTGAAAAGGAGATAATCTTAAAAATTCTGATTTCTCAGAGAATTTTTGCAAGTTACCACAGATAAAGAGATAAACTTCCTTTAGCAGCTGTTGCAATGAATATATTTCAGCAATTGTTGCAACATCCACACAATTATCAAGATCTAATTGTTCTTTCAAGTATGAAGAACATGCTTCAACAACAGCTATCAACTGTACATGACTTGCAGCAGAAAGAACATCCTGGATGTTGGCTAAACTTAATGCTAGCTTAGAGGTATATGCATATTCTAAAAGATACCGCATTCCATCAGCTGTGACTCCATTTAAACAAATTTCACTTTGCTGACTTTCTTTCATGGCATCAGTAAACATGGCACGGAAGTAATCACTGCAAGAAGCTAATACTACCCGGTGAGCTTGGAAAGCTTGTCCTCCTGCAATCAGTGTTATATCTAATAACAAACCCTTGCTTCTTAGAGTGTTCAGTCCACTTAAAAGAGTTCCCATGTGAGATGGCGACTCAAACTGAACGGTTCGGGAGCTCTGATTGTAATGACCTCTTCTGATTTCACGCATATTTGCGTTTGATATCAACTCCCAATCATGAAACTAAAAAACAAAAAGAAAACATGAATAAATTGCATTCAAAATATGGCATATACCTTCAAAAAACTTTCATTAGGATTTACACCTGTATTTCTAATCTAATGATGATGAAAGGCAGAATTTAAGAAACAGTTTAGGATTAAAAAAAAATTAGTTTAACTCTAGTACTATACACTTTTTACCAGGCAGATCTCCTAATAGTGCAATGAAAATCCAATTTCCAAATTCTGTTGAGTAAAAATATCAAGTAAAAATCAACAACAAAAGCACTAATATTTGTTTAGACTAAATGGAACTTAAGATTGAAATAACTTGAATCATTAAAGAAAATAAACAAATAGTTTTAGTATAATTAGCTTTGTAAATAATTCACATCCTGAAGAATATTTAAAAAGAAACATTATCATCTTAACTACTTATTTTCTATATAAGTAGAAATTTCCTATATAAGTTATGTACATAGTAACCTGCAGTTACTACGTACAGAAAGTGCAAATAGGGTTAGAAAAAAAAAATTCAATGAAATCTGTTTTTATAATGATATGATTGACTGTGATATGATTTAGCTCATATCAACACTATGGAAAGTATGTTAGGTGTAATAAAAAGGGATTTTTGAAAGAAATGCCATCGACAGTCCAGCAAATATTTTTCATTTTTACTTTTATGAATATATGCGGAGAAGACAGTAAACAGATTCTAGTTTAGATAGTTTTGGGATGCTGTTAAGGAATTCTGTATGCCTCACATACTGAAGAAACAGAAAGTTTTAAATGAGGTAAGTCAATATTTCCTTTTTGTATTGCATATATTACATAAAATGTATTTCCATTCTTATATGAATTCCTTGTTTGATTTAAAATGCAGTTTATTGAGATTATATATTTTTTGTTTTAATTATGTTTTATTGCATTATATCTTGGACAGCATTTTACTGGGGACAGCATTGGGCATAAACAGGAACAGTGCCAAAAAATCACAAATACATATTTACCGACTACTTTTCCACATTCTGTTATTAGATAAATGTTTTTTCCAAAAAATACTAGGAAATGAAAACATATTAAAGCAAATAAGGAATTATGAATGCAGAGCAGAATGCAAGAAATAAATGTGAGTGTAATTTTGTTACATTTATTTTATTTATTTGTTTTGTTTTTGTTACTTGTTACACTTTCTGTTTAGTGGTTTAGCAACTCCATGCAAATTGTGTTCAGAGATTTTTTTTGACTATAATGTAACAGTACATTATGATTATATAATTAAATATTAGTATAAATATGCATGTAATTCTTAAGCTATTAAAGAAATTTTCCTAGACAAGTTACTTCAAGAAGTAGCACACCCAGAAATTAATTTTGCGGGGTGCATATCATCATTGCCATGAAAGAAGCAATAGCTTATATTTAGATCAAAATTACCACTTAGTAAAAACTAAATATATACTGACATAATTTTTATCAAGCTATAAAAATTACAAAAATAATAAAGACCCATGAGAACAAAAATTCCTACTTACCAAAATCGGCAAAATCTAACATCATTGAAAAATTGATAAAAATCATTTAATAGCTGAACAAAACTATCATAATTTAACTGATAGTGAAAGGCATGAACTATTTCCCATCTTTCAATAGTCATTATTTTACTACTATAATCTAACATAAAACAATTCTTAATTAGCCACCACTATTTTTCACTCACACAAACACCGTCCTGATTTGTCCCTAATGTTGACAGATCACCACAACAATTCAATAAGATGATGGGGTAGCAACATGGATGTTAATGTTCTTATAATTCCGTACAATTTTTTGTTTAAGATGACTCCACAGACACTCTAAGTTTGAGTTTTCACAACACTGTAGTGTTTCGTTTACAAAAATGGCATTTCAAGGCTGTTCCTATTTTCAATCTTAATGCGCATCTTCATCCCTGAACAGCATTTATTTTCTCCACCACATTTGAGATAGTTCAAGGTAAACATTTGTGTATTTTTCACGAAACCAAACAAATTGTATGCGAACGAAATGTGGAAATATGTGTGTATTTAATTACGGAAAAGCACACTAGGGCTATCTGCCTAAGGGGAGGGGTGCCTTCGTGGAGGACTTTCTAAGGAAAACTGGCTCGTATACACGTCACACACAAAGTGTGGGAGACGGAGAGGATTAGACTACTGGAACCGTCTGCTGTAGCAGTGGTTCCCATGGTTATGGGATAATCCAAGTAGTAGAAAATTCCCCTACACTTCCTATTTTAAATTGACAGACTACAGCAGAATCAACAAAATCCATCTGATGGTTGGTGTATCAATGTTGGCCTACAGTCTAATTAGTTGGCCATTTGTTACAGTAAATAGCTGTTCCTCTTGGCATTTCTCTCATTTTTACTTGGGAATATCTGTCTGTCACACCATTCAACTACAAAATACCTCTCAACATCATTATCATGGCCCAATGGCATCATGAGAGATTGAAAACCCTAAGGCCCTCAGCACAATTATCTGTGGTTTCAGAAGTTTTGTATATCTTTTGCATGTGAGTCAAAGGATGACAATTGCTTTGCCAGTATATTATATCGCCTAGAACAGCCATCTATGACTGGCCTTACACTTCCTATGAAGTAATTACTCATTGATATCTACAAGGGTTAGAACTTTAATAGTGGCAACTATTTATTTACAAGGAATACAAAAGTGATTCATGTCACCATGTTTTCAGTTCTTCAATATAGTCGCCAGCATTGTGTACAACCCGTTTCCAACGATGTGGAAGTCGCAGAATACCTGTAGCAGCGCCTGTTTTGTTGATAGTTTGAATGGACCGGTCTACTGCCGCAAGAATCTCAGGAACAGTTTGGAAGCGAATGCCATGAAGTGGTTCCTTCATCTTAGGAATTAAGTCATAGTCACAAGGGCTTAGATCTGGGGAGTATGGAGGATGGTAAAGCACTTCCCAGCCCCATCGCTTGAACAAATCAGTCACAGCTTGCGCTGCATGCGGCCGAGCATTGTCATGCAAAATGAGAGGAGCGTTCTGCAGAGAGTGTCACCGTTTTTTCTCAAAGCTGGTCAGAGATTGTGCTCCAAAAATGAGCAGTAATACTGCGCAGTGACAGTCTGCTGTGGGGGAACGGTATGCGTTAGGATGACACCATCACAGTCGTACAACGAGAATCACCATAACTTTCACACTGCTGGGGTTCTGACGAAATTTTGAACGTTGTGGTGACCCATGATGACGCCATTCGTTTGATTGTCGTTTCAGTTCTGGCCGGTACGATCGGGCCCAAGTCTCTTTCAGCATAATGATACGGCACAAAAAAGCATCTCTTTCGCGATCATAGCGCTCCAGGTGGTTTCAGGCAGCATCGTGTCGTAGCCATTTCTGCATTTCCGTCAATTGATGTGGAACCCATTGTGAAGCAATTTTTCTCATGGACAGGCGTCCCTTCAGAATGTGCAGCACAGTCATATGCGCTAATCCTGTTTGTCCGGCCAGCTGACGAATCATTTGGCGGCGATCACTATCCATTAGTGCAGCAACAGGTTGCACATCTGCATCGGTGACACTCGGACGACCTGGCCACAGCATGTCTGCCACGTTTTGGCGTCCTTCATTGAATGCTTTCACCCATCTTGCTACGGTTCTGTAAGGCAATGCAGATTCCTCACAAGCCTCTTGAAGCCCTTGATGACACTGTCGTGCTGTACAACCTTTGGCACGTTCAATTTTTATCCAACATCGTTGTGCTCGTTTTGAAAACATCCTGACAACACTTACTTTAGACCGTGAGCTAATACAAGGATCCGTTCTTTGCATCACTCCGCATGCGCATGACGTAGGCAGGATAAGTCTTTTTGCTGAGAGGTAAGGTAGGTATGCAGTTCACGTGTGGTATACGCGATATTCTTTGGTTTTGTTGCGTAGCGTTTTTTCAGCTCTGTTGCCACTATTAAAGTTCCAACCCTCATAAGTATTCTCTTACATCATCCATTTATCCATCTGAGGAAGATTATCAAACATTAAAATGCATATTTCTCTGCATATATTAAAACAGCACACATTCTTAACAGCCCTGCCCATGTATCATATCATTCTACCCTCACTCTCATCAACAGACCAATAATAAACCAATCCAAAATTTCTTACATGGATAGGTGGCTATTATATCTACAATTTTGATTGAAGAATGTGAAAAACTGATTTGCCTTCAGATAAGAAAAGATTTGAAAATTCAGATTGAAAACAGATAGGTTTGGCTTTTGAATTTCAAACTCCTAAATTCTTGCTGCTGCCCATTGGCTAAGCAAATTCATCTAATAACTTTTTTAATTTCACAACTACGCTTATCACATTCTAATAATTATTTACACAGGATAATAAACTTTGAACACATATAGTACTGCAAATTACTCAGTTGCAATCATACATAATTCAATTGCTTATCTTGATGGCCTATTCACAATTAGTAAACTGACAGATCTCACTTTCATCGATTTTGTTTGCCAGAGGGACATAGATATTACTGTAATGCAGTCACCTTGATAAGGACAAATCATTCAATTCATACTCATAACCAAAGGCATATACAAGGTAGGTCATCTATTGTTAAAGGTATGGTTCAGCAGGTCACCTATTGGAAGAATGCTATTGGAAAATATGTTGTATCATCAACCACAAACTTCAATCAACACATCAACAATTCACATATTTAAGTTTGCTTGTTTTGTTTGTTTTTCTTTGCTAATATGGAAAACCACTGCTGAATGTGGACTTACAGACTACAATTTTGCACATACGCATTTTCTTCGTTGTCTCCATTTAATTTGTCCAACACGAGAATTCCAGTTATACCCAGAACACAGCAAAGCATCAGCAATAGTCCTCCTTAATGATTTATTTGAAAGTATTTCACCAAATTCCATGTTCTATACAACCAATGCATCAAGGAATTATAAAAACATTCAAATCTTCTTATGTCAAGCATATTTGCATCTCTCCAAATAAAGCACTAGATAGAGGAAAGCACGACAGGTTAAAGGCATTTTGGAAGCAATTCAACATAATACACCGGATAGAAATAATTAATATCACATTGAAACAACAACATAAGACACTGAATAGAAATGATTAATTTTGAATGGGAACAAGTAAATTCATCAATATATGCTTGCTCACATCACTGCTGGCTAGATGTTGCCAAACAATTTTAAAGGATTTCCATAGATTAACAATGAAGCTAAGGAAATATACAAATTACAAAAGCAACAGGTTTTGAAGGATTTTTCACATAAGGAAGAAAGAGAAATTAAAAAATTAATGGAGAATAACGAAAATGCAATGACAAATAAAGAACTGGATGATCTAAAATACAAGCCAACAGTGAAAGCAGTGATAGTGAAGAAGATAAAGAACCTTTAATGTATAACAAGTGAAATGAATTGTTGAAAAAGATACTGGAACTATCTGATTTTGTTATGGCAATTTGCACAATGAAAGAAGAGGGCATTTTATGAGAGGTATTGAAAAGCTTCACAAAATGAATACAGTCAAAAGTCGTTAATCCGGACTTGTCGGGACTTCGGCGATTCCGGATTATAGATCATCAGTTTAAATCTGGTAAGATGGCATGCAGAAATTACAAAATTAAAAATATGAAACCGTAATTTATGAAATAAAGAACAGTTATGATCTAAAGGGTATCAAAATTTACACAAAAAAAAAAGCTTAATATTTATTTGTTTACTTTATTAAACATTTCTTTCAATGTAAGTTGTTTAAGTTGCTTCGTTTTTTATGTGATAATACATTCTCTTTAATTCTATAAACAGACATAATTTCTTGTTCAGTTACAAAGTTCCATTGTTCAAGTCCTATAATTGCTGTGTCGAGAATACCGACTAATTTGCCAATCGAAATTTTTTCATTTTCAATAACCTCTCTGTCACTTTCTTCACTATCGGAAGCGAATTATAATGACGAGGAACTTGATTTAAATCATATCAAAGACGGAGTACATTGAGATGAAATACTACAGTTGGTAAGGAATTATAAGCCAAATAAAATGAAGACATCTGCCCTGAAGATAAGAATAATGCTGACAGATCAACTTCCAATTCACTGCGTGCCGTTTTTCCCCCCTTCCCCACTGCAGAGCAGCGTGAAATTGATAAACAGATTTCGGATTTCAAAACATACTTTCGCTTTGTAGATCCTTTACATATTAGTTAATATATATCGTAAATTCTATTTGATATAATCGAAAGTTCAAGCAAAATTCAAACTTTTACAAAATTGCTCTAACAGTCTGCAAAAAATAATAAGCCGGATCCAATTCGAAGATTCAGGAACAACGCAATCTACAACATTAACTGAATTAGATAATTTTAGCTTAGCTTATACCGTCCGTTATACATTAAATGTGCATGCGTAAACGTATTATGCGCTTCCACAAACGCATATTCGCAGCCGTAAAGTTCTTACGCGCAAACGTCAATGCGACGCATGCGCAGAAAGTTTGTAGCTCTAACGTCCGGATTATGGGTGTCCGAATTAACGACTTTTGACTGTACTTCACTTAATGAATTACATCAGGCATTATCCTAAGCAATAATCACTAGCTATTTAAAAAAATACTTGTATCATGTAACTATTTTTTAAGCACTAACAGAGATCCTTTCAAAGTTTCAATTTTCCCTTTTAATTACAATAATATTTAATTTGTATTATTTATATATACTTTCTTAACATGAACGATATATAACCCACTTTTTTGACACAAACGTTGCAGAATGCGATTTTGTCATTTGTGCAATGCGATAACAACATAACCCCCACATCGGCAAAGGTTTCTGAATTGTATTTGAAACACAAGATATAAATTAATATTTTGGATAAAGACCATTCTATTCTCAAAGATGTAGGTCTTAGCAATCCTTAAATTCTTGCCCCTAATATGTATGCTGATGATGATTTCTTTAATCAACTTTCCAAAAACAATGCAAATACTCTTGCCTACGGTTGTAGAATGAAAAATTAATATATCAATATATATCTACTTTTTGAACCAATTTGATTTCATTAAGTACTTTTTAGGTATTTTCTTAATGAAACAACTACAATGGAAATAAGCCTTAGATAATATTTGTTTGAAATTTGAACGTTGCAGATCAGATGATTAAGTTTTCAAAAGTTTGATACTAAGCATGGTAGTAGTACTTTTTTTCTGTCTCACAGCTGTACTCAGAATATATTTTTTCCCCTTTCATTTCTACTTCAGTCATCCTGTACTTTCTCATAATTTTCCAGGTACGAGAATGAATTTTTTCCATAATGTTCATTACTTGGTGAAGCAATTCCTTTCTTTTTTTTCTTTGATAGTGCTAAAATAAATTGTCTTATACTGTTTTCTTTATAAAACTTCATAGTGATGGTTATAATTACTGTTTTAAGTATGTAAGGAGTAATAATTTTACAGGTACAATAAGCATTTCCAAATTATCATAATTTTATCCCACTTGATTTCTAAGATTTAAAAATTACCAGTTCTTTAAAAGAGTATTTTGAATACACATTCTAAACTTTTTGACATCAAAATCTATCTATCATTCATAAACATCAGAATTTTCTAGAGTTCGTTAGAAATCACATGCAGATTAACATTTTTATTTATATTAATAATCAGAATTTTGGATTTTTGAATATAATGATCAAAATTTTCTTGTTTTTTAGCTGCAGCTATATTTATTATAGTGAACTGGAAATATTGTACATACAGAAGTGCATCTTAAAATGTTTGGTATCGCTGTAAATATCATAATGCCATTCGCGCTCAGAACTTTCTAATATTAAAATGCTCAAAATTAAATCAGTGTCTTGCTATGATTAATTTTTAGACGTTTCACTGAACACCTATGGATATCAGTAGCCAAATGATATTTTTTTCAGAAAGTACTCTCTCGTGCTTCGTGCAACTACCAAATGTCATCCACATATACACACTAAACAATATCTAGTTTCAGCTACATATGTATGTTAAAATGACTCATTCAAATATAAATGTAATTGAATAAAATGTTGCAAATTTTTAAAAATATAAGTCAGACACAGTTAAATAATACAATACTGATAAATCGGAATTCTAAATAAAATTTTAAATTATCACCGAATCAAAATGTAAATAACGATCAAAATATAAGCATCATTTACGTAAAGATCAATGCTAATAAAAAACCAACAGATTATTATGAGTACCTTATTTATTTCATATTCAAGTAGGTAATAAACTAAATTCCTTCATCTTTAACATTCTGAATACTTTCAAATCGTTTCCAAAACGTAAACAAAAATAAACGCAGCCATTTTGAGTTGAGTAACTTGACATCCATTTAAACCCCTTTCACTTCACATCATCATTTGAAAAAAAGAATTTCTGAAAAATTAGGAAAGAGATAATATTTAACTCAAAGAAGACAAAAAAAAAAAAAAAAAATCTGAAATGTTTCAGATTTTAAATTACGTCCAAAGGGGCGTTTTTTAACATTTTGTGTGTTACCTTTCTTTATTAAATATCATGTTCCTCGCACTTAAACCATAAGATCCAGTGCAACAGCAATATCGCAAAATAGTTTTAAAACGAGCATATCTTTAGAATTTCCGATACAGAGACTCACGCGCTAGAGATACAAATGTTTTTTCCTGCACAACGTTGCCATTGCTCGTTTTGAAATCCTTGAGTTTGTTAATAAAAAATTCGTCAAAGTTTTAAAAAATAGGAAATCGATCATAAAACAAATTTCAAATTTCAAATTTGGTCTTCCACATGCTCATATTCGTTGGAGGATTACGTTATTCAAAATTCGATGACTCTATGTACCGTTATTTTATGACAATGTGAGAAATATACATACATTTACGCAGATTTTCATTATTTAATTTCTTCAAATATAATGCAGGACTCTAACATTTTATGGCAACAGTTTGAAAAGTGAATCGACATTTATCCGTCCGACGCAAAATGCCAAAGCGAAAGTAATAGTCCTTCGGGACTCAAGTCCCTTTGGACTAAAAAAAAAAAAAAAAAAAAAAAAAAAAAACAACAATATTACTGGTAAATACTTGATATAACACCTTAATAAGTTATAACAAAAATTCTCCCAAATGGAATCTAAAGCTAAATGAAGCGAAACATCATTTTATAGTGTACTAGAATTGTATCTTCTAGTACACTATAACATCATTAATGGATAAAACTTCCAAAACACTCATGCAGTTCTTGAATTTATTATGTAGAAGCTGTACAAGTTATTTTCCAGTACCATTCGTAAACAACACTATTCTTCGATTGTAGGGTAGGGTCTTGGAAGTTGGCCTTGCTTGGACCCAGGCACCCTGGTGCTACACTAAAATTCTCTCTTACTAAAAGATTGCTACTACATGATTACAATAAAAGGAGCTCTCGGTTTCCTAACAAGCTTCAACGTAAAATGAATGTTCTCTATGTAAAACTTAGAATTCCCAAGAACAAATTTAAAGAAACTTATAAGAATAAATTTTATTTTTAAATGTTAAATTCAAAATCTAATGAAGAATTCTTTGTCAATGGATGATTTTTAGATCAATATATGTTTTAAATGTGGTTGAAAATTCTTTGTCTGCGGAATAACAGTGGTGCATCGCCAGCGTGCTTGCATTCGGAAATTTAATTCCACTTCTTCTTTAGTTCCCATCGAAGAGTAACATGTCCAAGGGTGTCAGCAGTAAATGATGCTAAAATTATTTTAAGAAGCGTAAATTTGAAAGGATGTTAAAATCTCATAGCAGCGCATGTCAAATCCTTCGTAACATAAAAAGGCAAACTGTTGATCTGGTGTAACAGACATAAAATTTTTACAGGAATTTTAAATGGTGAAAGGTTATTCTGAAACTTCAAAGGCGCATTAATAATTTACACTTTAAACACAATTGATAATCAAAAGATACCAAGGATTGTAAAGTGCACCAAAATATTAAAAAATAGTAAATCAAAATAAATATCATACACAATAACATTCAAATGCAAAAAATAAAATTACTTTGTGTGCACGAATGCAAATGAACTAAAAATTTCCTCGAAGAGAGAGAACAATACAAATATCTTAACAATAGGTATTAGAATGTCTTTGACCTCTGAGCTTCTACCAGCTATGTCACTACTAATGATTTCAGTTTCTTGTAGTTGTTGTTTGACACTTTATTTCTGAAAACTCTCCCAGTGAGAAACTAATAAACGTCCGTATAAATTTTTATAGGGATCTCTCATTTTTATACGGAGTGAAATTTCTAATTAATAAACCCTTCATTATATTTATTTAATTAAATAAATGCCGACTTTGGAAAAGCTCAGTATCTAATGAATACTTTTTATAATCTAAGGGACCTTGTTTTTAGAATTCTCTAGATTATAATTTTTAAAAGACAATAAAGTTAAGAAAGGTTTTACTTAAAAGGACGGGAAATAAGAATGTGCTTCCACCTCCATTTTTTTAGCTGGAATTAAAAAGAAAATTAACCACCAAAGACTTCTGAAACCTTTCCCTTAGGCAGTCGCCTTTGCTAATTTTCATATAAGAGACTATAAGGAACACAAAGGAACTTTTCTTTAATTCCTGTTGACTGTCTCTAAACTAAGGAAACCTATTAAGTTGCTATTTCATAGTCAATAATGGAAAATTAACTTTTTCAAGCACTGAATAATATTGAAAATAGGTCTTAGTAGCAAATATTTACTAGGTAAGCTTAACATCAGTACATATTCTAATCATTTGTAGTTTGTTAAACTGAATATAGTATCGAATTACATGTATTCATTAACAGTTTTAATTAATGCATGAAAATAATTTCTGATAATTTGTTTCATGCATAAATCGGCAATTAGCATTCTTAAGAAAATTCAGTCGCAGTTTTAAATTTATACACATATATTAACCAATTCGACTTGCAATTTTGTGGCATTAGCACGTTTTTGCTTTTTTGTACGAACTAAAGGAAGTATTATAATTGCGAAAAATTTCGGGTATCATATTTCAACGAAAATGTCCATTTTAAAGGCCCTCAAATCCATCTAAACGATGATTTCGCTTGATTTCTGTGCATAAGAACAGAATAAAGGACTCTTTTTCCCCAAAGTGTATTGAAAAATGGATTTAAAATAGACTCAGAAGAGATATTTCGCGACGTCTGTGGGTAGGTATGTATGTATCTTGCATAACTAAAAAACAAGAAGCCTCAGACTGTTGAAATTTTGTATAGGGACTACTATAACATGCAGTTGTGCACTCCCTTTCTGGTTGCAATCGGCAGCACCAGAAGTGCGTATATATATATATATATTTATAAGAAAAGGAGATGTTAAAAACTTAGCTAGGAGCATTTGCGTAAAGAACATTTGAATTACCTATCTAATTACTGCTATACAGTACATGTAAAACCATGTCAAATCATCTAAATCAAAATATATACGCGAAAAAAACCTATCCAATCTACATATAATATAAAATTTGTACAACAAAATAAAATAATGTACGCAAAAAAAAACCTATCCAATTAACATAAAATATAAATATTGTATATATAAAAGCATGGTCAATCTTCTCTGTTCAAGGCTTCAAACAGAACTTATGAAGAGAAAAGTGCATGAAGCCCTCAATTAAGTTGATTAACCCTCAAAAACATGCAAACACGTTTCGTCGAACAAGCATGTTGAGACTGAAAACGGCTTTCCTTGTAATCAATTTTCTTATTCATCTACGACTAACGATGTCTCAATAGATTTGCCCCTTTTCCTGACGTGTTTGCGTGTCTTAAAACGTCAAAGTAAAACTTTAAAATATCAAAGCAATAAATTTTTAACATAAAGAAAACTTTTTATCTTATAAAGAAAAATCATTTAAAAGGTGTAAGAATATCCTATACAAAGTGGCCTGGTTAGGCAAATGTACAAGCGAATTATTCAGTGTTAATCCTGAAAGTTTCAATAAACATCATTTTAGGGGCAGTCTCCTAAGCATAAAAAATAAAAACCTCATCCTAATGAAAAATCTAAACTAAGAGGAGTCCTGTTAAGACCGAAAAGCATAGTAATTCGTGAAAAAAATTAAATTTACAAAATATGCAAACATACCTGCGTCCATCTCGGATTCTTCCTAAAATTAAACTGAGCTAAAAACGTGGAAAAGGCTGCCTGAAAGTGACGAAGACCTAATGAGTGTTACCTAATGAGTTACCAGAATTACAAAACAACCGAATTCAACCTATTGGAGTATAGTATGACACAGAAGCAAGTTTTACGTATCTTTGTAGAAGCCAATGGTATTGTCCAGCATGACGGGTGATAACAACAGGGCTGAGGGGTCGAGGAAGAAAGTAACTCTTTCTAAATGGCGTCGTGTTTAAGAAATTGCTGTTTCTACCATATATCAATTTGGAAAGCAGTTTCCAAATTTAAAAGATGCTACACCAACATTCCGTCCCTTAATGGCCGTAACGGAATCGCTTACACCGAAACTGAGAAAGCTGAGTCACTAACTGATAAGTACGCATCTCAATTTTGCACTCACAACATCTCTAATCCACACACAGAACTCACAGTTAGTTTTACAAACAATCAATGCTTCTCAAAATAAAACACAGGCAACATTCGTCTAGTTAAACCTTCAGGAAGTTATTAGATATATCAAGAAAATAAAAGTCAGAAAAAGCCCAGGCTTGGATGTCATTAGCACGAAGATGATCGCCAAATTGGTCACGTGATGCTGTTCAAGTTCACCAACATTTTAAATTATATGCTGACTCAAACTATTTCCCAAAAGGATGGAAAACTGCTGTGATAGTTCCAATTCCAAAGCCATCAAAAGCAGCCAAAGACCCTGCATCTTATCGACCAATAAGCCTTCTCTCTACGCTGAGCTAAATCGCTGAGGCAGTTATTCAAGACAGAATACTGGAGCATATCAGCACTAAAAATATCCTAATTCCACAGCAGCATGGTTTTCGAAGGAAACACGTTACAACCCACCAGCTGTACAGAGTCACTGAATTCATCTCTGAAGAATTGAATAAAAGAGAAAGCACAGGAGCATTTTTCCTCGATATATCGAAAGCATTCGACAGAGTTTGACTAGACGGTTTAATCTACAAACTTATCACTCTGGATTGTAAGGATCCTAAGTTTTACTAACGTTTATTTTATTTTAAAACTGTACTATCACTTCTTATTTTCTACTTCCGGCCAGAATTAAATCCGTTAACTTTCAAACTAACTTTATTCAAATTGTACTTGCTAACGCCCAAGTACTTTAAGTTGTGGCTTTTTGTCAAGAGTTAGAAAGAGAGA